AAATATTAAACTTGATTCTGTTCTCCAACTCAGTTTGTGACCAGAATTCCTATTTCAGTCAATCACCTTGGCAGTACTGCCAGCTTGTACTACAGTAATTCTCAACCTTGTCTGCACATCAATCACCTGGGAGCTTTAAAATAGTCCCAAGTTATTCCAGCAAGGTGCCCAGAGCATATTCTAGTGAGTGAGAAGTGCTCCACTTGGAGAAGTCCTGATTTTCTTTTGCAGTGCTGGGGATCAATCCCAGACCTTGCACATGCTAAGCAAGCCCTCTAACACTGAGCTACATCCTCACCCCAGATTGCTGATTTTTCACCAAGGTAATATGGATTAGTTGGCCTAATTTAGGGAGGACATACAGTATCTATTTGTTGTTGTTTTGAGACAGGATCTCACTATATTGTTCAGGCTAGCCTTGAACTTATGACATAGCCCAAGATGGTTTTGAACTCATAGTAATCTACTTGCCTCAGCCTTCCAAGTGCTGGGATTACAGGTATGTGCCACGATGCCTGGTGGGACATGTAATATTTTAATGAGATGGACCAGCCTTGACATGAACCAAGTTCTTTTTCACATAAAGGTAGAATGACAGGTGTCAGTTGCTCCAGGCCAAGATGGAAGACTATTACATTTCTTGCCATCTTCAGCACAAATCTGGTTACCTTTCTTTCATAGTTGGTAGTACTAATAAGCTCCAACTAACACTTGCAAAGTAAAGCCCATCAGTTTCTCATCAAACCAAAGATATAATGAGTTATAAGACACGCAGATACCTTATGCTGTATTGAGAAAAAAAAGCCTACTTATTATTGGATGTAATCAAATGTAAGATCTATTTTAAAATATAAAAATGTACATATTAGAATTGATAAGCTAAGCAAGCAGTGCCACATTGTTGCCTATGACCTCGAGTCAGGCCTGGAGCACACCCAGTGCTTAACTGGATGCCACAAAACCGCCAACATCATGACTTTTCTGCAGGTGTAGCCAACCATAGCGCCAGTGTCCACATTCCCCAGACTACTGGCCAGCAGAAGAAGGGTTACTTGAAGACGTCACACTTCTGCTGACTGTGGTCTCTTTGTCATAGCAGAAATCCTCATCTGCACATACTTTCTCAATGAGACATGATGAGCTGTGAGTGCAAAAACAAAGTGGACTAGACCTGCAGCCATCGAGCCCCTCCTAGTTCTTTACCCTATTCCAACTCTTCCCTCTCTTACAGTCATCCTAATTGTCCCTCTTGTAACTCAAAGGCTATAATATCAAAGTCGTTTTTTATTCTTTGTAAAAACCCCAAAAGAATAGACGAAATATGGTAATCTGTATTCTAGATCTTGTCTTTGAATTCCAAGCCTGTGTGGTCACTAGGATTTCTCATGCACTGTTTCAACCTAACATGTCTGAACCTGGATATTTTCTTTTTTCTTTTCTTTTCTTTCTTTCTTTCTTTCTTTTTTTTTTTTTTCTTTTTCGTTTTTATCGGTACCAGGGATTGAACTCACAATTGCCTGCTTGCAAGGCAGGCGCTTATGTCGCTGAGCTAAATCCCCAGCCCCTGTCTTTTCCTATTTTCTATGCTCTGGCAAACAGAGCCACTCAAACTAGAAACACAGAAATACATCAGACTCATGAGTTGCTAATTTCCCATACAAATTGTCTATTCCATGCATCAATTCTGCCTCTTACATCATTTGTGAATGCATTACCTTTATCCCCTCTAATGTGCTTTTATTTAGGTCTTTCTTCTTTATCCACAGACCTAGTGCAGTAAACTCCTGAAGATTTTCTACCTTTCAAATAAATTTATATTTGGAATAGTCTTTAAAAACTCTTCCTTGGACTAACGGTATACCTCAGTGCACAATGGTACAGTCCAATGCCCAGCATAAAAATTTATATGTTATTTATTTTGCATACTAGGGATAGAACCTAGGGCCTTCATACTGAGCTATATCATTAGCCCTTGTTTTATTTATTTTTAAATTTTTTGAAGCAAGGTTCAAACTTGGATTTCTCCTGCTTCAGCCTCCCACATGCTGGGATTACAGACATGTGTCACTGTGTTGGGCTAAAAAATTTTATTTCTTAAACAACAATCTGATTCCTTGCTTTAAAAATGTACAAGAGCCTGGTGTGCAGTGCATGCTTGTAATTTCAGTCTTTGGGAGGCAGCAGATCACAAGTTTGAGTCCCACCTGGGCGATTTAGAGACTTAGTAAGATGCTGTCTCAAAATAAAAAAATAAAGGGCTAGGAATATGGCTCAGGAAAAAGATCCAGGGTTCCAGGGCTGCCCACTAAAACAAAACAAAAATCATGTACGATGAGAGTCAGGCACCGTAGCACATGCCTGGAATCCCAGCACTTGGTATGCTGAGGCAGTATAGTGATTTTCAGGCCAGTCTGAGCTACACAGCAAGATCCTATCTTAAAAATTTTTTTCTACATGATAAATATCCTCATCCAAAAAAACCGGCAAAGGATACCAACAGGTCACCTAAGTGAAAAGCTCTTCATCCTCATTAGGAAACAAATGTAATCATATCATTTTTTCACTTATCCAGTAGGCAGAGTTTAAGAGTGTTACTATGATATGGGACAATGCAATGTTTTGACCCAGACAGCAGAAACAAGACTGGGGCAACGCATACACATTTCTGTACAGACAAAGCTTTATTGTGGGTGGGGAATGGGCTTCAGCCAAAATGGTGTTTTCCCTGAAGGGAGAAAACAACTAGTTGACACAGTAACAAAGCTGCTGCTTGTAGAACAAAGAGAGCAGCAGGTTTGTACTGATTTGATGGGGTTGGGCTAAAGTCTAGTAATTTTCATTGGCCAGGGGCATGGTTTTAAAACATGTTTCTTATTGTGATGCATTTGGATCACTGAGTGGTTAAGGTCATGCTACAAACAGTTGAGTTTTCCTGTATCTGGCTTGACCATTCTGAGCAGAACATCTTGCCTTTGTACTTGGCAGGATAACAGGTAGTCAACTTTGTTCAGGAATTGCTAAGTTATTCCAGCATCTTACATAAATGCCCTGGACTTATGAAAGGGCTGACAGAGTTGTAGTGCTGAAAGAGGACAAGAGTGGGGCAGAAGAACACACACCAACTCCAGCGGGCAACAGGCCAAATGAAGCCTGTGTCAAAGTCTTGGACAAACATTTCTTAAATGATCATGTCTACATGCAGAATTGAATAGGATCTGACTCACCTGTTACAATAGCAAGAGGACTGAAACAATAATGAAGACAGAGATGCCAAGCTTTTAGTCACTCATTAGACCCTAAATGACAAATCAATCAGTATTCTCAAGAAAAGTTGCTTTCAGGTCCCTGAGAAGCAACTTAGGCACCTGTTACCATAACTCTCACATCAGAGATACTACTCACAGCAAATTGAGTGGGAAATTAATAATTTATTGTCCATGTGACCTCCAAATAATTTTAAGTTAACTAAGAGCAAGCAAAACCAGAGGGCTTACATAGTGTTTTCCTTAGTAACAACTTCTTAAACATTCTGCTTTTCTGGTTTTATTAGAGCTCCATAAAGAGTCTGTGGAAACATACCATGCTATACAGGGTAATAGTTTGCACTCACGAGTTTTTTTTTTTTTGATGTCCCAGTCAGCTGTCACACTACTGTACATGGTAGTCCTTAACTGTTTCATTAATAAATGATGGCAAGAGTATGCAGAAATACTATTGCTGCCGGGCGTGGTGGCTCATGCCTGTAATCCCAGCACTCTGGAGGCTGAGGCAGGAGGATTGTTGCGAGTTCGAGGCCAGCCTGGGCTACAAAGTGAGCTCAAGGCCAGCCTGAACTGCATAGCATGAGACCCTGTCTCAAAAAAGAAAAAAAAAAAAGCAGAGAATCAAGTGAGTTCATTATTACAAGATATTCACACACACACAAAAAGAAATACTATTGCTAAAAGCACAGCATTTTAGATGCTTTAGCAGTATTCTGGATATGCAAAGGAGCACAGCTATCTAGTATCTCTGACACTAGTATCTCTGGCAAACACAGCCACTCAAACTAGAAACACAGGAGTATATCAGACTCATGAGTCTCTACTAACTTCCCATACAAATGGTCTATTCCATGCATCAATTCTGTCTGGATCTTTGCCCTGGACCATATCCCTATCCCTTTTTGATTTTGAGACAGCATCTTACTAAGTCTAAATGGCCCAGATGGGACTCGAACTTGTGATTTGCCTGCCTCCCAAAGAGCTGAAATTACATGTATGCACCTGAAAACCAGGCTCCTGTATATTTTTAAAGCAAGGAATTGGATTGTTGTTTAAAGAGTAAAACTTTTTTAGGCCAGCATAGTGGCGCATGTCTGTAATTCCAGCATGTGAGAGGCTGAAGCAGGAGAAATGTAAGTTTGAGCCTTGCTTTAAAAAATTTAAAGATAATTACTGTATTTTATCAAATGTGGCTATCATCTATCCCAATGGGCTGGAAAAAATGACATACGGTAATGTAAAGGAAGGTGATTTGTAAGTAATAGTTACTATGTGTTAGGCACTTGCCATTTAAAGTGCTTATAATCCTGTTAGTACTATTATTATCATCCCCACTTTACAAATAAAAAAACGGAGGCACAGAGGAGTCAATACTGTCAAGGAGAAGAGTAAGTTAGGGTAGAGTTGGGATTACTGGCATTGTATCTACATGGTGGGTTCTAACCTACTTTCGGCAGCGAGCCTTAGCCACAATCATGATTTTGTTTACATAAATCTTGGTCCCCTCTGCCCTCGTTATTTGCCATCCGTTGGTCTTCTCTAATTGCTCCGTGTATCTCCTCACTATTATACCTGATGAAGCTTGCCCGAGGAACTCAATTCACCCCTCCTATTGTTTTTCACAGTATCCTAATTAACGTGCGGTACATGATAAAGCCTTAGGCGTTAAGGGTTAACAAATGTTATCGTACCTTTAGCATAGCTTTACAAATGTGAAATAATTTTCACAAAACTTACACTACAGAGTGCCAAGAACGCGCCTTGACATCAGCTATGCTCCGATACTGGCACTAGAGGCCGATCTTTCCCCGCTCTTTGGCGTCAGTAGGAACTTCCCGGAACCTTTCCTGCGAACTCTGAGGTGGTCCGCCCGGACAAAATCACGAAACACACAACATAGCAAGGGTTAGTAGGCTAAGTCTGTGCCTGAAATTTCTTTCGCACCTGTGTCTATATTCCCTACGAGAAAACCTTAAATTCTTGCATGTTTTAAAGTCCGAAGTGATGGTAACATTGTTAAACCTTCAAAACATAATAGTTAATTGACTTTAAGGGAGTTTATTCTTTCTTCAGGTTAGGCATATATATGGAAAGCTTCTTGAGACGACCCTAGAAGGCGGGGGAGGAAAGCGGAAGCCGCGGGGACTTCTAAGTCTGAAAGTCTCCGGAGCTTGCGACAGGGTGTTTGCGGCGCCCGATACTTAACGCGGGTCTTAGAAGCCGGCGAGTACTAAGGAGTTGTTGCCGGAGCTAAGTCTAGGCGGCTGAAGTCCGCAGGGATGAACCTCGAGTTGCTGGGTGAGGAGGCCTATGATTGCGTCTCAGACAATCCTTCGGTACTGGAAAGGAGGGAGCCCATGAGGGAGGGGCTTCAGGCTATAACCTTAGGGACACGGTTCTGCGATGGATCTTTGGGCGCTTATTGGGATGGAACTGCAGCATCAAGAGGAAACCCAGCTTCTCCCCGAGTAAAATGTACTCTTTTTCTCAAGCTTTTTCTAGATCAGTTGTGCAGTGATGGGGACAGAGGCATTGCGACTTAGCTGTGATTATGTGGATCATAATAAGTAATAAGTACCTCAGAGTAGACGCGAACAGAGTTGTTGGGGTTGGAATATGAGGAAGTAACCTTGGGGCGAAGCTGTGAAGACCTGTCAGGGGGCTGGGTGCCTGGACAGTTTAACTCTTTGTAGAAACCCTAGTTGCCCAAGGAGGGAACTTGGAGATTTTCTAGTAGAAGTGCTTTACTAAACATAGTTTAAAAAAAAAAAAAAAACCTCAGAGGGTTGTGACCAGGCACTAAACAAGTAAGTGTCATAGTTGGTTCTGGAGTCGTTATTTTGGCCTATAATATGAGGTCCTTAACTGCCAGAGACTGTAATGCATGAACATAACTGTAGAGACAGTTGCTTTTTGCCAACCTCTCTGTCCCGTCCTTTCTACCCCTCCCACAAGTTGGATCTTTCTTCTGGGCTTTTCTTAGGACTGTTGGCGTGGCAGTCTTGGAATGTCTGAGGTTTTAGAGAACTTTTACACGACTTTCTATTTCTTAACAGGTTGCTTATAGGGGCTGGGGATTTAACTCAGCGGCATAAGCACCTCCCTTGTAAGCAGGCAGTCGTGAGTTCGATCCCCGGTACCGATAAAAAGGAAAAAAAAAAAAAAAAAAACAGGTTGCTTATAAAAACAGAAAGATTAAGAAGATAACGCTGACCAAAGGGTTACAAAAATAATTTAAGAAATGGTCTTTGCCTTTAAGGAGTCCTTTCTTAAACAGTTCAAAGTGATGGGTTAAATTGCCACTGTAAACTGTAGAACGTAGCTCTTTACCACATGCTAAGAACACTTAAAAGATAATGTCTTTGGGACAGAGAACTAAGGCAGTTAGGGAACCCACCCCCCAAGGTCTGTGGAGGAGTTGGGTTCTAAGTGGAAGTTTCAGGTTGGTAAAATATTGACAAATAATGAAGATACGAGGAGGAATGCTCACTAATAGTATTTTGAGTTAAGATATAAATGAGAGGAGACCTAAAGAATTTTCCTGTTGGGCCAGGATATGGGTGCTGTAATAAAGAGAAAGCCAAGAGATGATGTTGAGACCATGTTTCGTGGATATTCTTTTTTTCTTTTTTTTTTTTCCCCAGCCCTGTTGAAAGCCAGCCTGAGAAGTTTGTGTATATTTCGTTTCATTTTGTTTTGTTTTTTTTGAGGTAGGATCTTGCTAAGTAGTTTAAATGAATGACCTTGAACTCTCATGTAGCCCAGGCTGACCTTGAATTTGTGAGAATCCTCCTGCTTCTGTCTCCCAAGTGCTGGGATGACAGGGCTATGCCACTATGCCCAGCCCGAAATTTGCATTTTTAAAGGAAGGTTGGGTAGATCCATTGAAGGATTTTGACCTAAGTAGCTCAACTGGAGCTTGATTTGTGAGGCTTATTTGACAGTAATGAGCAGTTCTGTTTTGGAGAGATGTAAACCTAATTGGAAGAACTCCAGAAAATGAGTAATAAGGAAGGACTGAGCTGGAAAATGGAAAGAAAAGGGGTTGAGGATAAAGGGTTGACAGAATTTGAGAATTGATTGCATATAGTGATGGTAAAGGCAGAATGTGAAGGGAGAAATGACGGGACTAAATAGTGGTATTATTTGTAGGATTTAAGGACATTTAGAAAAGAGAGTTAATTTTAAATCTCTTTAATGGGCCTGGAATTCAGGAGACAGATTTGGGTTTATGACAGATTTATAATAGCCCTGTAGGTAAGCTGATTGAAACTTTGTGAGTAGATAACTAAGAAAGAAAGTGGAGGGACAGAAAAGATTTTGAAAGATAAACTCTTGTATAATTATCTCTATTTAGGGGACAAGAAGAATGAATAAATAATAGTTAAGCTACCACTTGTATAGTACTTACTTATGCACATTTTCAAATGCATTGTGTTTTTCCACACAGAAGAAAACAGGTTAGCATGGAGCTTTCTGTAGAAACAATGGTAGAGCCAGTTGTAGACCAAGGGTTGACAAAGGGGCACTACATTTAGTGCTTAGGAGGCTCAAGCCCCTCAGCTTTCTGAGCTGAAGGCCAATTACTGTACTGTGATTTTAGGAAGATGTGGGAAATAAAATAGACAAAAAGTCAACTTTTATTTTTAAAAAGTGTGAACAAAGGGTGATAGGCTAGTTCTTTGAAGGAAATAGCCTGGTCATGGTTAAGTTTTTGATGCTACTATTTGAACACAGGGGCTGAGGCATGCTAAGCACATTATTCCGCCGCTGAGCTACACTTCCAAACTGGAAGAGATTTTTCTTGAATGATTCAGAAGATTCATAAGGGTGAATTAGGGAGGAATATGTAGCACTGAAAGGTTAGACAATTTAAAAGAAGTCTGGTTCAAAAGATAAGTGCTCTAGAAGTGACTTGGAATTTTAAATCCACAAGGTTAATGCTTGCATCTAAAAAGAAAAACAACACAAGGGACGAGATTATTAGTGTATACAAAGAGCTGTTGGCCAGATAAAAGGAAATCAATGATAATATGTCTTTGATGTAGACATGCTAGTGGTCCCTTGGTAAGATACTGCTAACTTTCCTTCAGCAACCACTTTGAACCCTTGCTGTGTATCTACCAGTGTGCACTGGAGACATAATAAGACACAGTTTCAAACTTGTTTTTACCATAACTCAGAGTAAGAAATACATTTTCTATCACAGCTTATGTATGTAAATGTCCATATAACTAAGTCTTTCAGAATTAGGTTTAATACTTGTTATGTTTAGCCCCTTTGATATTTTCTATTTTAATCTATTAAAAAATGTTGCAGCTTGCTAAATTCATTTATTTATTTATTGGCAGGTTGAATTCTGCCATTTGAAAAATGCTGAAATAAGATACCACCTTTGCCCTGGATAAATAACAGTAGGAAGAGAGAGAAACATAAGTAAATAAGGGTAATAGGGTATCATAATAAATTAGTGTATTATGAAAATCCAGCTGCAAGAACAGCTAATTTTGCATTATTGTGGAAATGGCTATAGAATTTGGGGAGGTTTTACAGAAGAGGTGCTACTTAGACAGATGAAGTAGAGGACTGAGGCTATAGCTGGCTGGTAGTGTTTGTCCTGCATGATAAGGCCCATGGTTCAGCCCTCAGCACCAGGACTGGGGGGAAGCAGTTTTCTTGAGATAGGTTGGAGAAGACAACTGAATGGAGAGAAGTGCAGCAGCAAACAAACCGAAGGTGTGAATGTGTGTGCTATATCAGGAGTCATCAGTGGTTGCAGCTGGTGTACAAGATGGACTAATCCAGGTTTTGTTCTAGGTGCTGATGGGAAATTAACCAAAATTCAGCTGAAAAATACTGCTTGGGGCCAGATTGAAATTACTTTTTCAATTAGATTTAGGAGTTCTATACATTTTGTAGCAAAGAAGGTTTTTAAGCAAGTGAATGATGTGATACATTCAGGACTGAGAAAGTTGCCTTTGGAACTTTGTGAAATATGGCAGGAGGCAAGACTGGAACCATAAAGTAGGAACTGTAGTTCGGGTTGAGGAGAGAGTAAGATATGTTACCTATACCTGCAAGTTGCATTTCTCTAAAAGAAATACTGACAGAGTCCTCACCTGTAAGAGGAAGCAGAATGGAAACTGCAACTCAGGTCCTAATCTGTTAAAACAGGAAGAAATGGTTGGTGAATAGAAAAAATGGAACTCTTGGGAGGGCATAAAATTTTAGAGCTCGTGGTAATTAAGTCTTTAAGGAGCTGCATGTTAAATAATTCAGAGAATAGACATTATTTCATGGGACAAGACTGGAGAAAAAAAAGCTTAAGAGGCATGGAACATTACAAGGCAGGTTGGGGAAAGAATCTTGGCATGGAAAGGAAGATGTGAAGAGATCCCTGGAGACAGTAGTGTGAAATAGCAGAAACAGTACAAATACATTTGCAGGCAAAAGTATGTTTTTTTCTACCCCAAAGTTTTAAAATGTTTTTCCTTGCTTAATATACATATTTACACATAAATTTATAAGGACTTGGGTTTTTGCTTTTTATCATTGTCCAGGGTGGCTGCAAACTCTTGAGCTCAAGTGATTACTGTCTCTGCCTCAGCCTCGTGAGATGCAAGGTTTATAGATGCACATTGCTCTGCCTGGCTAGCACTGTTTGTAGCACATTATTTGCAATTTGTTTTGCAAGTAGGAGATAATAGATCTAACAATTCATGTTTTTTATTTTTTGAGACAAAGGTCATACTGTAATTTAAACTGGCCTTGAACTCATGAGAATCCTCCTGCCTCAGCCTCAGAGTGCTGGGATTATGGGCATGCATCACCACACCTGGCTAATAG